CTGTGACTCACACGCCTGACTCACAGACGCCTGATGAAATACATGCACTCCCAGTCACATTCATCACAGCTAAATATTAGAACAAGCTCTTTGATTTCAAACCCGAGTGCTTCCTGGGGTTTTCTCAGCAGCTGTGCTCGGGCCAGTTGCTGCACTGGGGGGGGCGGTGATGCAACTTCTCTACGCTGCAACTGCCAGGTTTGCTTGTTTGCATGCATATATACAGATATATATTTAGAAATTTCCTCAAGGCAGAAGAAAATAATTCATGACAAGCAGCAGCTTGGAAGGTCACCTGGATTATTATTTCTATACCACAGCTCACCTCAAGCATATAAGGAAAGTCTTTATGTGCTGATGTTAATAATGCTAAAGAGTTAAAAACCTCAGCAGCTCTGAAGGCAATTATCAGGCTGGCTTTGTCATGCACAGCCTCATTTTGTGTGCTGCAGCTAAATTGTATTTTACTGTGTATTTTAGAAGGAATAACAGTGTTTGTTAGAGGTGTTTTTTTGCCGTTGGGCTCAGTCTGTCCCCAGGTGTGGTGCTGCTGGCTGGGCCGGACCCCAGCTCTGCCTCTGTTGGTCTGGGGCAGTGCTCACTGCTCAGCAGAGCTGGAAAGGCAGGCCAGAGCAGGATGGTTTTACCAAATGAGGGGCCTGGACTGGAGTCCAGCAGCCCCCTCTTTGAAACATTTCCTCCATGGCATCTTTCAGCTGTGTGAGCTGTTTCTACACTCCTAGAGCATTGCAAAGTGGTCTGATTTGAAATCCCAGCTGCTCCAGAGAGAGGCAGAATTTATGAAGAACCAAGGCAGTTCAAGTTACCATGGAAATTGTTTCAAAACAAAGAAGCCTGATTTTGCTATTCTTGCTGTCTTGGGAGGGTTTTCTGTGTGGAAGGATGACAGGGTGAACCTGCCCCACAGCTCAAGGTGTGCTCTGTGTGCGCTGTGTTCTGGGGCCCACAGACTTCTGAAGACCACGGTATTTGCATAACATTAATGTGTTTATTCTGGTGTCTGTGGGTGGCAATTTGTGCCCACAGTGCTCCTTTCACATGGACATGCCATTATTACACCCAATTAATGCAAACACTGTCCAGGAAGAAGTTCCAGACTGTTCCCCAGCATGGAAAAAGCACACGAGGTTCTCCTGCTGGGAACTGGAAGACCCCAAGTTTAGCCACACTCTGCTCCTTGCAAAGCTGTGCAAAGTCAGCTGTGAATGAATACCCCCATCAGATCCACTCCCCCTTTCCTTGGGGGACTGAAAAATACCTGACAAGCCAGATGCTTTACCACCCTCACTGTGCCAGCACAGCACCTGAGGCACAGAGACAGCCCTGTGATCCTCCTCACATCTCAGAACTGGCACTTGTGACTCTGAGATGGCACTGCCAGCCACTAACCCAAACACTTTGTCATGATATCCCTCTCAGACTGCAGCCCTGGTTTTCTCTCCAAATAACATTATTACAGATAAAATTCTACTTACAGCTGGATTTTCCTATCAATATCATGTTACCTATAAAAAAGATAATTGAAAAACCCTGCAGTGTTTGTAAAGCAAATTTATTTGTAAGGATGCTTATGATGATAAATAAGAAGTGGCATTCAAAGGAACAGAAAAATAGCCCTGTTTATAGATGATGCTGAGATTTCTTCAGTAACTTAATTATTCCCTCTGCTTCACTATTAATTAGAAGTC